ATTCTTTGTGGAATATCTAACGTGATGGGAGTGAAACATAAAACAAATTTTCTTTGGTTTAATCTTTTTGTTTTTAATGAATATTTTCTTCATATTTGAATAAAAAATAACTTATTTTGATGATTTAAAAGTATTTCTGATTAATAGGAGGAAAAAATGAAAGGATAATGATTTTACTCGTCTTGAGGGAGATGGGTCATTTTTTTTAGTGAATGGTAAGAAGCAAAACAGAAAGGCAAATGTGAACAGATTCTGAGAAGGTTAGTAAATTCTTAATGAAGGCCAAGAACTGATAGAAAACAAATGGTAAAATAAAAAAATAAAATGAATAAACAATGTCAGTTCTTTGTTTCAGAAACCAATTCAGTAAGCTTTATGATAAGTACAGAGACATGATATAAGCAAAGAAATATTTAGATTTTCAAACAAGAGCTTTTATTCATTTATCCAAATTCAAGAATAGGATGCAAATACAGGCTGGCAAACTTGCCAGATTTTAACATTTAGCATTCTGCATCATTTATAAATATTACCCTCTATTTTACTCTATATGGAATCCTCTCAAAATATAGTCTTTTATATATTAGTTCTATTTATATGAAATTGCAGTAGGCTCGCTCTCAATTTCAATCAAGATTGTTTTAGGTGTTGCCACAGAAGGATATGACAACACAACCAAGAAATAGAAATTCTGCTGGCATTGGCAGGATTAACACCTTGCTTGGTGAAAATAGTCACTTACAGAGTGGTAAAGGTTAAAGCACAAAATTTATATGATTTAGTACATTCTTTTGCGGAATATCTAACCAGTTGAGACTGAAATATAAAACAAATTTTCTTTGGTTTTATCTTTTTGTTTTAATGAATATTTTCTTCATATCTTACACGCTTCCTCCATCATTCTTCCATAGAATAATATCTTTTTCCTTCAGTTTACTCTTGATCTATGAGATTATCCAGCATCCGTTTCCATACAAGAGGATTGATATTACATAACAATTCTGAACGTTTTTCTTTGTCGCTTGGGTTAACATTTAGCACTCTGCATCATTTATATTTCTTCCCCTTTTACTGTACATGGAATCTCCGTAAAATATAGTCTTTTATATATTAGTTATATTTATCTGAAATTGCAGTGGACTCGCTCTCAATTTCAGTCAAGATCGTTTTAAGTGTTGCCATAGAAGGATATGAATACACAACCAAGAAATTCAAATTCAACTTACATTGGCAGTACTAACATTCTGCTTGGCGAAAATAGTCACCTACAGAGTGTTAAGGGTTCTTGTGTAGAAATTACACCCACTTCACCCTGTTTCGCAATTCTATGCTTCTAATCTGGCCATCAGACTATTCTCATACAGTTTATTTTCCGATCAAAATTGGAACGTGGTGTAATGGTTCGCAAGCTTGTCTCGTTATAAAAAAATTTTACAACTGATTAGTTAGTTCGATTCTCACACGGTATCCCCTATTTTCAGACTTGTGTAACATGTAAGTTACGGTTAGAAAATCGCCATATTTAGGCTAGTATTGCCCAATCACATCTTTCCAGTCTTTTCAAAGTTCAAAGGCATTTACACGGCCTTGTAGGCGATTAATTATTTTCCAGATTACAACGCCCTCTCGTACAGACGAAATGTCACAAGGCTCTCGCTACTCTATCGTTATTTCCATGGAAAAATGTCCTGACAATCTATATTTCCTATTACAATCAATGCATACATGTACAGCTAAGAGCCGCCATGCCATGTTTACAGTAGTGTACCATTCTCATTCCCTTTGTATTTTACTAGTAAGAAGAGTGTACATTCGATCAACTTCTTCACAGGGTCCGCTATACCGTGGAACAGTCTCTTGAAAAGATACTTCCCCAAGCGTCTTCAATCCCAGGGTCAATCGTTATCTATCCTACATATCCTTATCACTTACTTCCTCCCCATACGTCTATATAATATACCCAGAAACCCTCTAAATTGTGAGGAACTTGGACCTCTTATCGGGTGAATATCAGCTGCAAGATTAGGTCAAAACAGTTGAAACACAATGATAAAAATTATAGCATGTCAAGGAGCCTTGATTAATTCGTAAAATAATAAAGTTAATGATATTTGTAAAATAATAAATTCCTTATTTTGTTTTGTTAAGTTTACCCGTGTGTTTCCTCATCATTATCATTCTTCATTAATCTTCTTTGTATGGCTAAGTCAACCGTTCATGTTAACCCCTAAACCCCATAACACTATAGAGAAAACTTAATTCTCAACTATAATTTTTAAAGATGAATAAAGAGCTAAATTGGATGGACCTGATGTTGGCCAAGAGTTTCGTTCTTTCATGGAAATAGTCATCTAACACAAATTAAAACCCAATAGCAGAGATGTGGAGTAATAATTTGGGCTAATATTTTAGACAGTAAAATCATAGATCCCTTCAAAACTGATAATGGTGTCAAGATCAATGGAGAGAATTATTTTAAGTTCTTGGACAATATATATTTTTGACTAGTATAGGTCACAATCAAGAAGCTTTAATCAAAAGTGTATATTCATACTTATATTTATACTATGCCCCATTGCATTCTGCAAAGCTGAAAATTGCCTTGTTTGCTAAAAAGAAAGGTAACAAAGATTCAAAATTAATGGAATGGTCCTCAGCCTCTCAAGGTGTTCATTGAATAGAAAATTGTGACCTATCATTAGAGATGCATATGAGAATGGAAAATAATATGTAAGCTAAGATCAGCAAGGACCAATAAAATCAGCTGCAAGATTATAGCAAAACGATTGAAAATCAATGATAAGAGTTATAGTATGTCAAGGAACTTAAATTGATTTGTAAAATAACAAAACAAGTTATTTAGGTATGTGGGATATTGTGCTAACCAAATATCTTTCTTTGCCCTTTATTTAATTTTTTTCCATCATAAACCCAGATATTTCCAAAAGATGTTAACCAGTGTTTTTTAATAAGGATATGGAAGTTGAAACTCACAGTGTGTATTACTCAAATACACATTTTCTTTTTCTAAGCAACTTAGGATTTTAACCAGGACTTAGTTTGTTTAATCTCTGAACAAGAATTAGTATTCAAGTTGTTTATTTCTTAGGATTGAGTCTAACAAAATATAAAAGTTGAGTTGGTAGAATTCTTGAATACAATAACATATCTATTTAGTCACCTTCTTTTTTTGTTTAAACTTACGTATTTTTTTTATTTTTTAACTTGCTTAAGAAGACATACTAACATCAATTCAGATTTAGTCAAAGCTGAGTATATATATATATATATATATATATATACAAATCATGCATATCATGAAAATTTCATTGAAAACATTGACTTGCATAATAAAATCTGATAGTGGTTGTTGTTTTTTTTTTTGTAATTTTGAAGAGTAGAGAAGTTATAGTCAAACATCACCTCCAGCAGAAGCCTGACAAATATAATCAGTTAATATGTATATTTTGTCACTTACCAAATTTTAATTTCATGAATAACTGTTTCTTTTAGTTTTTCTTTTATCTTTGAAAACTTTCTTTTTGTGCTTTTCTTTAAAAATGATTAAGTAGATTATCAGAAATCCATTTGAAATTTTACATCTTCATTATTTTATTTTATAGTCTTTCAATGTACTTTCAAAAATATGGATAAGATGTTATAATTGTCACATTTTTTAGGTATGTGGGATATTGTGTTAACCAAATATATTTTTCTTTGGGTTATATCGTTTGTATTTATTTATACATAACAAATTTAGTATCTGTCTATATTTCTGAGATGAGGTATTATGTATATTATTTACATTATTCGGACTATTGTCCTCATCTTTGTCGCCATATTAGTTACAACGTTTCAACCGTTGTACGCTCCGGCCTTGGTTGGAATGTCGAACTGAACCCTTTATTTCGCTCACTGGGGTAGACTGTTCTAGTTCCACGTGCCATGTTTAATGGATGTCAGTTATCAGTTATCTCCTGTTAATTTCCCTCGGATAATAAGGAAATATGGCTTCCCTGAAAATACCGGGTATTGAACTCACACTGTGGCATGTGTCCTCAAGGACACATGGCACATTGGACAAAAGTGGTCCGTTAGATCCAGTGACAGGACCGAAAGAGTGTGAGTTCAATATCCGGTTAAGGCAGTGGAGAACTTTCAAAGGGGAATTGACAGGAGATAACTGATAACTGACATCAATTAACCTTTTTTTATATAAATTTGTTTTACTAATGTTCATCGAATACAGGGATCGAGAGCCACTCAATGTAGAAGGTTACTGTTAAAATGGTTATAAAGGCTTGGGTCAACCCGTGGTATGGTTTTCAGGCACTTTCTAAAGGATTGACCTCCTCCAGACCGATAATATCAGGAAGTCTCCTTCCTGATAAATCGACCATGGTGAGATTCGAACCCGGGTCTCATGGTTAGAATGCGAACGATCTAACCACTCGGCCATTGCATTCTTAATAGTTACTATAAAATTGCTATTTCTTTTCGGTCTGTGATGAATTTCTCGTCTGTAATCAGCTTTTCGTAGGGGTGGCGTACGAAGTACAAGGAAGAACCCTTTTTTCCAAACTTCTTCATTAAAATTTTTAGGGTGCGCCTAATATATAGGAACGTCTTATAAGCAGTGAAATACGTTAAATGGTAGGTAAACGATTGAAAGAGTTGAGCAAATCAAAGAATGTTCTGCAGGGAAAATTCGAAAAGAGGTTCAAGAAAATGAAAAGGAAAGTTTCAAAAGGTTAATAACTCTATTCACCACAAACCTCCTGGTTAAAAGAAAAAAAATAACGACTTGAATAACGCATAGAAATATCTCTTTTTACAAAAATTGACGAAATTATCCGAGTTAATTTCTCCATGATTTCCTCAATAAGCGTTGTATTCGTCCATGTTGTGACACTTCCGGCGTGTTATTTGAAGTTTGAGATTTTAACACAGTCCTTAAATTTGAGTAATACAACCAATTCGCGAGGAAGCCGGTGAAATCATTAGAATTCGTTTCCATCTAAATTGCCTTGACAGCTGATAAAAGAATGTGAACGATCCTGAAGACAGTGCGACCGGGAGATGAATAATAATACAACGAAATAAAGATAAGATCGTATTTCTTGCAGTGGTTCACCGAATTGGCTTCGGTCATTATGGAAGGAAACAAAATGGCTGTTAGTAGCGAAGTGCGAACGTATAAGAGATGTGGTAGTATGAAACCTGATGAAGGATATTTTAGGAGAAGGAAAGGGAGAGGTTATAAGTTTTAGGAGAAACAAAAAAAAACAGAGAGCGACAAGAAAAAAGAGTGAAGAAGCAGGAGAAGAAGAAAAAGATGGAGTAATGAGAAAATTGAATTTGAAAACAAAACTAAAGATGAACTAAGAAGATGACAAAGAAATAAAGAAGGAAACGTGTATTAGGTAACAGTGAACATATGACAAAAATAAAGAATATATGGAGAAAGAAAACGAATATATATATATATATATAATATATATATATATATATATATATATATATATATATATATATATATATATATCAAATCGAGCGAGTTTCGATCCCGGGTTGAAACAATCGTATATCTATCCACATTGATGAGCTCTGACAGCTGTAAGTTGTCTGTGGATGAATATATATATATATATATATATATATATATATATATATATATATATATATATATATATATATATATATATATATATATAAAAGATATACAATAAGATATGTTCTTATAGATATTTTTATTTTACAAAATAGTGCTATATATAAACATATACCCTCATCAATAGAAAATAGAATTAGCATTAACTCCGCTAACAAAGAAATATTCCAACAACACAATGGCTTCTATAACGCTTCCCTAAAAATTAGTGGTTATAAAAATGCAAGCATTAACTATAGAGACAATTGCACTGGCCAAAAGAAAAGAAAAACAGGGAAAGAAAAATCAGTTGGTATACCCCTCCGTTCCACCAAATAGTTTGTATTAAACTAGGACAGAAATTCTTAGCTCTAATTGATAAACACTTCCCCACCAATAGTAGGCTTATATTTGATAAGAACACCCTAAAATTGAGTTACAGCTGCAAGGAAAATCTAGAAGGTATAATAAAAAAACACAATAATAAAATCTTGAACAACCCCCCCATGCCTGAATAGTATTAATAAAAACCCTACACTTAAATCAGACAATAACAGTGAAAAAGTATGTGATTGTAGAAAACCAGAAGAGTGCCCATTACAAAATAAATGCTGAATCAAATCTATTGTCATCCACTGAGAGTCCTAATACTAATATGGTATACATTGGGTCCACGAAGAATGATTTTAAAGCCAGATGGAGGCAGCATAAGTGCTCTTTCAACAATATAAATAAAAGAAATCAGACTTCCCTATCTAAATATTTCTTGCATCTGAAGGAAATAAATAGGACACCTAAAGTAAAATGGAAAATTATAAATAGGATTAGAACATGTAAAGCTTGGGATGATCCATGCCCTTTGTGCCTCCATGAGAAACTGCACATTATTAAGTTTCTAAATAATAAAAATCTATTAAACAATAGACATGAGATAACGGTTTTTTGCCGACATCATCATATTTATGCACTGAATAATTAGCTAAAAACAAGCATACAATATAATAACTTTTATAATACATAGCCCAAATAGTTTAAATACCCTACAAAAAAAGATAACCCTTTATGAAGTCGTCTAAAAAAAAATGTTACGGCAGTTTTTATATGCACAAATCCCTTTCATAAAGAAATAAAATAAAAAATAAATAAATCTCCATACACACGTAAACCAGCCTAGGCTAAAACATCTTCCGTTTCAAATTTAGACACCCCCACCTTACCTTAACTTGAAATCTATGAAAGTAACTCTATACTGATACGTATTACTAACACCCGACACCCCCGTCCTATTTAAACAATTCGCCCTGACTGTTACCATGGAAATTTTGATTTCAATAATGAATATGCTATTAAAACACGTAAATTTCAGAAATAAGTTATTCCAAAAAAACTTCGCTTGAAGATGGAACAGAACTTTAACTCAATTTAATTCAAATAATTATATTGAAGTTTTCGGCTCTTGTTTTGAAACATGAGACCTCTTATGTCGCGAGTTGGAATCATATTTTTTAAATAAATATATATATATATATATATATATATATATATATATATATATATATATATATGGGGAAATAATTTATGACCAATGGACGCATCAGGCTGGCAGTTTTCTATTGAAATTGACGTAATAATTGCTCTAATTTGGCATTGAGCTTTCTGGATTACATTCTTTTTCGGATTATCCATACGTATTACCAAACTTTTAATTCCTTATAAATATATATGTATATGTAAAAATATATATATATATATATATATATATATATATATATATATAATATGAAAATGTTTGCATTTTCATACTTTTTCAATTAAAAGGTATACAGCTTTCTGTCAATACCCTTCTATATAATGAATATAATGTTTGGGAAAATGTCTCCGTGTGTTACACTTTTTCAATTAAAGGGGCACAACTCTCAGTCAATATGTATATCTATATAATAAATGCGAAAATGTCTGTATGTGTTCTTTTAATTAAAGGAAAACAATTCTAACTTTTAAATATCTCATTTTCTTCAAAGGGACTTGATCATTCAGGATTTGTAATTGAATCCTCAGATTACAAATTTAGTTCTCTGTGAAATTGGAGACAAAGTGATGAAATTTGCTCAAAGAGATCTCAGCGATTTGCCAAATGTAAACAGAGGAACTGGACAGATCAATGGATAAATGTTGAGATAAACAGGATACATGGAAGAACTGCGGCAATGTGTTGGCAATGAGCACCAAGACCAACAGCAAGTTTATCAGACAGTCCTTGATGACATGAGCAACAACAATGAATGGATCTTCTTCTTGGATGCACCTGGGGGTATTGGTAAATCTTTTGTAACTAACCTTTTTATTAACTGCAGTAACACTCCAAAGAAAAGTAGCATCATCTGGAATTGATGCTATTTACTTGTCTACAGTGCGTTCAGCACACTCCACCTTTAATCTTCAATTGAATTTGAACTACAATTAAAACCTTATTTCCAACATCAAAAGAAGAACTGTTGTGGATTCCGGGGATGGAATCCGGCACAAATAAATAACAACGCCAGTAACAGAAATAGGAAAATATGTGTATTAAACGTAATAATACAAAATTTAAAATGAAGACTAGTAGTCCAAGAATGCGGGTTAGTAGAAAAGTATATTTACAAGTCTCTATAATTGAAGCAGTAATTATCTCTTTTTCTGGACTCTTGTGACTCTGTGTGAACACCCTGTGTCGACCCTTTTTCGTCACGCTATCTCTCCGTAGTATAAATATACTATGGACGAGTTCATCTTGTGCACAAGGGGCGAGCCTCACAATAGGAACAAACGTCTGTCATTTTTACAAATACTTTCACGGTAACTGCTTCGATGAGCTGCTTTCGCTGGTTCCCAGACTTCATGGATTTAAGCGTTCTACTAGGCTGGCATCTCGCTCACACGCTTTCACTGTCGAAACTGTTAAATATAACCGTCTCTTCTACTCAAATAGCTTCATGTCTCGCACCTCTCGCCTATGGAACTCCCTTCCCTCTTCCTGTTTCCCTGATCGCTATAAACTTCAACTATTCAAATATAATGTCAATCGACATCTCCAGATGCCCTGATCTATCCCCTATCCTTCTCGTCATCCTGTCCTCTATCACTCCTATTTGTTCTAACTCCAACTCTCTGTAACCCTTTGCGTGCTAGTAGTTTCCCACCTTACCTGGGCTGAAACGCTTATAAAAAAAAAGCTACTGGAGCAGACAGGCTTCATTGTCTGGGATGAATGTCCCATGGCACACAAGCGAACATTTGAGGCTCTGGAGAAAAAACTCAAAAATATTAGACAGAATTCAAAAATCATGGGAGGTATCATTGTGCTACTTTCTGGTGATTTTAGACAAACATTACTAGTCATTGCTAGAGGTACTCCGGCTAAGGAAATCATTTCTTGACTGGAAAATTCTTAATATCTCGAGCCAAACATGAGGGTTAGAATCACAGGTGAGCTTGAAACAAGATGACTTGCTTCTCTTCTGCTGCAGTTTGGCAATGGAACCATCAAAATGGACCAAAAGGAAGGCATTTCATTCCCAAATGGCTGTGGGGTTTCAGTCTCAAGTCTCCAAGACTTGATTAACCATTTTATCAAAACATTAAACTGGCCATGTGAGGGCCATATTAGCTCCCAAGAATGAAACTGTGGATACCATCAACTGGAAACTTCTCCAAGGAATTCCAAAAGAAAGCATTAAGTACTTTTCAATTTACACTGTGATTTAACAAGATCAGGCAGTGAATTATCCAGTAGATTTGTTTTGTTGTGTTTTACGGCATATCAGCCTCACTGGGTTATTTAATGCCAACAACTTTTTTTCCTGTTAATATTTTGTTTTGTCAAAAATCTATTTCTGGTAATATTTTTTTCCTCAAAAATGTATAGCTGGTAATATTATTTTTCAAACATGTATTGCTTTCAAAAAACAACGTATTGCTGGTAATATATTTTTCAAAAATATACGCTGGTAATATTTTTTCAAAGATATATTGCTGGTAATAGTTCTTTTTTTTTGGCAAAAATATATTGCCAGTTTATATTTTTTTCTTCTTTAAATGTATTGCTGGTAATAGCTTCTTTTTTTTCTTCAAAAATGTATTTCTGGCAATAATTTTTTACAAAGTATTTCTGGTATTAAAACCTATTTTTATACTTTTATAATGCTTTTTACCTCAGTGTCGGGGTTAACTATTTGCCCATAGCCGGGACCCTAACATATGCTACCACCCCGGGTCAGGGTGGACCTGGGAATACCAGCAATTAAGAGTTGGTTCCACATTCCTTAAAACATCCTGATCAGAGGCCCTGCTGTTGGACGTAGTTTATCGTCTTACCCAGGACGCGGATGTAGTTTATCGTCTTACCCAGGACGCGGATGTAGTTTATCCTCTTACCCAGGATGCGGATGTAGTTTATCGTCTTACCCAGGACGCGGATGTAGTTTATCGTCTTACCCAGGATGCGGATGTAGTTTATCGTCTTACCCAGGACGCGGATGTAGTTTATCGTCTTACCCAGGATGCGGATGTAGTTTATCGTCTTACCCAGGACGCTATTCAGTAGAGTTCCTGAACACATTGAATCCTCCTGGAATGCCATCACAGAAGCTGGAATTAAAAGAAAATCTGCCAATTATGATATTCAGAAATCTGTATCTTCAAAAGCTTTGCAATGGAACAAGGTTAATTGTAAAGAAGA